ACATAAAATATACCTAAGATCTACACTCGAGATATTTTCACTAGCAGATCGTTTCTCACGGGCAGAACCCACATACACATAAATGCACCTAAGATATACCTAAAATATACCTCAAATATACCTAAGTTATACAGTCGTTTTTCTTACTTAAGATATACACTTGGCCGGAAAGGACTGTCACGGCGGAGGGAAAGCGGGCCGCAGAGGCTGAGGACGACGGCTCGCGGATGTCCTAATCGCCGGAGGAAGAGGCTGGTCGCGGCGTCTGGTCGTTACAGGGTTCACCGGAAGCCACAATTCACGCGTGAACAAAGGTCGCCGGAATTCTTCGCGAGATGGAGGCGGCGCTGGGCAGCGACTCACGGCGTGGGAGGAGAGCGGGTCGTGGCGTTGCTGGGGTCTCGTCGCAGAGGGCTCGCGACTGGTTCTGATCGAAATTCGCAGGTCCACGCGGAGGATACTCGCCGGCGGGAGGATGGCGGAGGAGGAGATGACGAGATGATGGTGATGGTGTCGCGGCGCGTCTGGGTGGTCGCAGCTTGGAGATCGGCGGCGACGGGAAAGATCAGAGGAAGGGATGATGACGATGGAGCGTTGGCGAGATGTTTGTTTGAATCGTTCTGTATCTTTAGCGGTTACCATCCCGTAATTCACGTCAATCAGATATGGAAGGAATGAAGTTACCATATAACTGAAGATTAGGTATTCACGTAAATATATTTNGGAAAAAATCCCTCAGAAAGTTCCCAAAATTCTGTCACATTCCTCGACAAGAAGTAGAGTCGCCAGTTTTCCGGCGACGAGATGGACGTGCGCGCTGACGATCTACGATCACTAGAAACCCCAACTCGAGTGCTTGTTGCTTCTATCGGGATTCTTCGAGCTTGCCGTGAAATTCGGATCGCCGACCAACGGATCGTCAATGGATCGACGATCGGAGGCCGCGAACCTCGTCGGATTGGATTTTCCATGGGCCCCGAGCCCGAAATCTCGGGTCAGCCGCCCAAATCCTCCATCAGGCAGGATCAATCGACGGCTCAATCTGCAGACCTAGATCCAATTGGAGCAAAAATGCAGCTTTCAGACAGGCGAAGAGCAAAAAGGACAAAAAGCTCAAACCCAACAACTTTTTCTCCATTTGATCGATCTGCTCTTCCCCCATTAGGCTCAATTTTTTTTTTTTCAATTTGTATTTTCGAATGATTCCCCGAGCTCGAATACTCCGTTGTTATTATTCTTTTTACTTTTCATTTTATCTTTTCCAAATTAATAAAGCAATTAAATACTTGATCTCGAGTGTATNAAATATTCTTGTGGTAGGACCTGCCCCCGGTCAGAAATATAGTGAAATCACCTTTCCTATTCTTTCCCCCGACCCCACCACTAAGAAAGATGTTCACTTCTTAAAATATCCTATATACGTAGGGGGAAATAGGGGAAGGGGTCAGATTTATCCCGACGGAAGCAAGAGTAACAATACAGTTTATAATGCTACAGGAGCGGGCATAGTAAGTAAAATCATACGAAAAGAAAAGGGGGGATATGAAATATCCATAACAGATCCTTCGGATGGACGTCAAGTGGTTGATATTATCCCTCCAGGACCGGAACTTCTTGTTTCAGAGGGCGAATCCATCCAATTTGATCAACCATTAACGAGTAATCCTAATGTTGGTGGATTTGGTCAGGGAGATGCAGAAATAGTACTGCAAGATCCATTACGTGTCCAAGGGCTTTTGTTCTTCTTGGCATCTGTTATTTTGGCACAAATCTTTTTGGTTCTTAAAAAGAAACAGTTTGAGAAGGTTCAATTGGCCGAAATGAATTTCTAGACTCGCGTATTTATCGCCATCAGGCTCGTAAAACGAAGAAATTTTTTGTTGTGAATTTTTGATCAAAATCCTAGTCTATAGATATTTTGACTAGGGTTGACAAAAAACGAATATACAGATATACTGTTATTTGTAGAATTAACAATTCCAATGACGCGTGGACAACCGGCAAAGAAACCGGTTTTGGTTCGGAAAGTCGCCGGGTCGAGAATCAGTGGGTCCCGGCGCATATCCCCCTTTTAGGCTCTAGTATTCCCATACTGTAGGGGAGTGATAGGAGTTAATCCATTACAGTTGACAAAAAACGAATATACAGATATACTGTTATTTGTAGAATTAACAATTCCACTGGGGCGTGGCCGAGTGGTAAGGCGGCGGGCTTTGGTCCCGTACAGTCGAAGGTTCGAAACCTTTCGCCCCAGGGGGCCTATTTAGGCCCTATCACTCCCCTACTATAGGGAAGTGATTGCACTCCCCTACTATAGGGGAGGATTGGAGTTAATCCATATGTTCTGTGTCTGTTGCAATTTATTTAACAAATATCTAATAGATATAGATATGTAGGGGGTTAACATTTTTTGATTTAAACCGGAGGAGGATATTCCGATGAAAACCTTTGCTTGTGTGACTCATGGAGTACTTATGTTCTATATACATATNTGCAGCTAGCAGGAACCCGCTACTGCACGCAGCATTCTTTGTATTCTATAGGAGCTATGTTGCAGTCTTGAAAGACTTTCTATCTTAGTTAGGTTTGTTGGCCAATTTAAAGCAAATTGGCCAACAAAGAATTGCTCATTGAACTAATCACAGGAAAATGCTTTACTTGATTTATATTTATGTTTTAATAAATAGTTCGGGAGGGGAGATCCATATGCAAAAAATGGAAATCTTTGCTAGAGTGGCTCATGGAGCAATTCTGATATATCTGCATGTGCATGCGGCAACGAATCCTGCAGCTAACAGGAAGCTAACTTGTGTAGCATTCTGCTTATTCTATAAGCAGTATCTTGGAACGTTGCTAGACCTTTTTTCTTAAGTTTCTTTGTTGAATTAACAAGGCAAAATGCCTTTCCACTTTATTCTATTCTGAGATTTTTGAATATTAGTAGTAATATTCCTATATACTTATATACTAACTTATATACTAATGTATGGTAAAGATGTTCTCTTGCCAAGACTTTTACAAAAAAATGTAGAATACTATAGAATAAAAACCATAGATTAGAATGTCTATGGACAAGTAGAACCGATGACTATTCATGATTCCACGATTGAATCAATCCCATACCGGTTCGAAAGTAGAGGAATGTTATGGTAAAACTTCGTTTGAAACGATGTGGTAGAAAGCAACGTGCGGCTTGAAGGATAGGGTCCGTTGTGGATTAAAAATCCACCATTTTTCCAGTTCTCTAGGAATGAGGATGCTCTTGGCTCGACATTGTTTGTTCTGTTCCGCTTGAACCCTTCATTTTTGTTGGGTTGTAAATAGTCTACAATGTAGCTCGAGTAGAAAAATGCATTTCTCGGGGACAAGGATCTAGGGTTAATGCCAATCAATCGGAAGAACTTCGTAAATATATCTTCTATATATATAGAAAGGATCCAATTGGAGCAAGTTTCCAATTCAAAATTCAAAAGCAAAACTTGTTGCTTGTTGGAATTGATCAAACTTTTGCGATTCAAAGTGTATCACGCAGGAATGAATTGTCCAGAGGATTCTTTGCTAGAAAGAAATAAAAAAGGGTATGTTGCCGCCCTTTTGAAAGGATTAAGAAGCACCGAAGTAATGTCTAAACCCAATGATTTCAAATTCTGAATTCAAATTCAGAATAAAGGATCTAAGAACAAGTAAACACCATTTTAATTGTCTCGATAGTCTCGCCCACTGGATCAGACTAAAGAATCCAAATAGAATTTGAAATGAGACAAAGAGAGGGGGGTAAAGCCTACTCAATAAAGAAAATTGACTCAAAATTTTTTCTTTGAACTATTTGAAAAGTTATCTAACTTGAGTTATGAGTACGAATGGTTTCTTTTTCCTTTGCAGGAAGAAAAAAGGGCAGAAATTCGAGTTCTAGTTTAATTGATTTGCCCGCTTGTGATTCAATTTATTCGAATTGCATACATAGACAAAACTGCGAATCAAATCATTTTTCGCGAGCCGTACGAGGAGAAAACTTCCTATACGGTTCTAGGGGGGGTCTTGTTCATTTACATACATCTATCCCAATGAGCCATCTATCGAATCGTTGCAACTGATGCGCGATCCCGAAGAGAAGGAAAAGATCTTAGAAAAGTGGGCTTTTACGATCCACTGAAAAATCAAACTTATTTAAATGTTCCTCTTCTTCTATATTTCCTTGAAAAGGGCGCTCAGCCCACAGAAACTG